AGCTTTTGTCATTAAGACCTTGTTGGCCCGGCAAGGGCGAGACAAGAAGACCTCAGAACAGAAATAAAAATCCATCCCAGGGACCCTCACAAGACCAATGTGAACAAAACTCCTAACACTTTTAAAAGGAAATATGGCAGACAGTCTTCATGAGCTCTGAAACGGCACCAAATTATCTGAAACAGCACCCCAAAAAGCACACACGTGTGCGCGCGCACGCACACACACACTCACACATACACACACTCACACATACACACACACACACTCACATCACACACACACTCACACATACACACACACACACATTCACACACACATTCACACACACATTCACACACTCACACACACACACACTCACACACACACGCACAAACACACACACACAAACACACACGTGTAGGAAACGGACTACATTCCAATGAAAAGCTGCTGGATCGATGAGCAAACAGATCAAGGGCGAAAAGCCGCACAACCAGCACAGGAAATGGCATTTCCAGTGTGTAACCCGCCAGGGTTGGGACCCAGAAGAAATGCAGCATTCTCTCCGACCGACCGGTAAGAAATGGGGTCGGGGGAGAAACAGGTCAACAAATGGGCTCAGGCTCCCAGGAGGCCCTGGGCAGGAGAGGAGGCCCAGGAGGCGCCAGGCGGAGGGACGATGCCGCTGCCCGTGGTCACGGGGACAGCGGAGCCACACACAGTGACACGGCTCAGCACGCCACTGGGTTGCTGACTAGGATGCAGCACATGCAATTTCAGGCCAAGCTGAAGGCTTGCAAGCTTGCATTCTCCCTCTCTCTCTCTTTTTTTTTAATTTTTTTTTTTTTATGGTAAAAACAGACCTTTTTTTATGGTGAAAACAAACAGGGCTTGAGTTCTCCATGCCCCACCACGCTGTCCTCCGGCTGAGCTCCTCCAGGCTCGGGAACAGAAGCAGCGGGGCCCTCCGCCGGGCGGGTGAGCATGTTGCCAGTGAGTATAGGGGTGCGCTGCGGTTCTCATAACGAAACAGAGCCCATGACACGACATGGGTCGATCTCAACATCACAGCATTGCATTGTTTTAACAGCAAAGAGATATGGAAGCAAGATCTGTTTACACAGAGTTGGAAAACGCGCGAGGAAAGATCTGTATCTGTTCACATCTGTGGTAAAATACAAAGAGCGCGGTGGCGACATAGTCCCCAGATGATGGAAGGGGGCTGAGCGGAGGAGGTTCACAGGGGACTTGGATTGTGTGGGGGGTTTTCAAGCAACCGTCTCAAGCACATGTGAAATAGGGTAGAATGTTAAAGTTTAGCAAAGCTGAGTGCTGGTGCCTGACACCCATTCTCATTGTCTCGCTACTTGTCTGAATGCTTTAAACCAGGGGTCCTCAAACTACGGCCCGCGGGCCACATGCAAATACAAATATTGTATTTGTTCCCGTTTTGTTTTTTTACTTCAAAATAAGATATGTGCAGTGTGCATAGGAATTTGTTCATAGTTTTTTTTTTAAACTATAGTCCGGCCCTCCAACGGTCTGAGGGAGAGTGAACTGGCCCCCTGTTTAAAAAGTTTGAGGACCCCTGCTTTAAAGGTTCCCACATAGTGAGCCCGGGGCTCAGCCCCAAGCACTGGCCTGTCGTAGAGACACCCCAACATCTCGGTGCCTCTCACCCGCGGCCGCACGGGAGAATCAGCCACGGTTCGTTTAAGAAAGGCGTGTGCGAGTCCCCATCCCCGGAGCCCGGAGATGATTCTGCCAGCAACGGACAAGGGTGGTCTTCTTATTTTTCTGGGAGGAGCCTGCGACCGAGGTACGTGCCCTTGACCGGAATCGAACCCGGGGCCCCACAGTCCACAGGCGGACGTAAAGCATAACTTTAAACGTGTGCTCTAGACTGATCTGAAGCCAGGCGTGCGCCCGGCCTGGCCAGGAGGCTGCGGGGCGGCGGAGCGGCAGGGGGCTCCCTGAGGGCACCTGGGCCAGGTGCTGGAAGGCCAGGTGCAGGTTCTCACGGCAGGCCGGCTGCGGGTCGTTCAGCAGGAGGGACAGCGCGGTGACGATGCCGTCCCTCAGGAAGCCGTCTCTGCAGAGAGAGGCAGGTTCAGACACTACGAAGACCGATCCCTGAGAGGGCCCGGGGGAGTCAGGAGGCAGGTGCCCGCCCTCCTCCCCCCCTGGATTCTGAACCCATGCGGGCAGCTGCAGGCCGCACCCTCTGGCTGCCTGAGAGAAGACCAAGGCCAGGATAGAGCGTCAGCTCATAGACTGAAGTGTCCCGGGTTCGATTCCGGTCAAGGGTTGCAGGCTTGATCCCCCGCCCCACGTTGCCCCAGCCCCAGTCCGGGTGCATGCAGAAGGCAATCAATCAATGTGTCTCTCACCTTGATGTTTCTCTCTCTCTCTCTGTCTCTCCCTCTCCCTTCCACTCTCTCTAAAAATCAATGGAAAAATATCCTCAGGTGAGGATTAGCAACGCGTGCGCCCCCCCCCACACACACACACACACAATAAGTAAATAAATAAAAATTCCTTGTTAAAAAAGAAAGGAAAAAAGACGACGGCCAGAAGTGGGCCCTCCAGGCCCTGAGAGCCGTGTGGCTTGTGGGGTGGAGGAAAGAGCTAGGACTTCGACTCGGTTCTTGGTGGCCTGGAGGTTTCCCTTTGCTCCTCTGAGCCTCAGTCCCCGCGGTAACATGGGGACAAGGCAGCAGAATCCATAACTGACCGCCCTTGACCTGCCAGCTGAGTGGCCTTTCTCTCCACCCGCCCAGCACTGAGGCTCCAGGGCAGTGAGCCCCCGCTGCCGGCCCCCAGACCTATGTACGCCTGTGTCCTCATTGTTATAATTCTATACGTTAAGTAAATACTAGGTAAGCCAGTTAGATGAGAGAAGAGGGTTTTTTTAAATTTCCTTATGAAAACCAAGTGGAATGCTTTGAGGAGACTCCAAAGTGAGTCTGTAAGACAAGTGAGATGATGATAGAAAGGCCCCGGGAGGTTTTTGCATACAGGTGACTTCATTAATGTCTGACTTCTCGCTCTTCTCGAAAGAAACCACGGCTGCACATTAGACGACGTTGCAGGGGTGGTTTAAGTCCCAAAGAGGAGGGGAACCTCAATCCGTGGGCCCACATCCCAGGGAAGGCCTGGTGGCACTGGGGGTGGACGAATGCCTAACCCTTTGTGTTTGGGGTTAAGATGAACTGTTCAAAGGGAATGTACAAATCTCTGATTCCTGGCTTTTTGTTTTTCCATTGAAAAAAAAACACAAAACTCTGCCCTGGGTTTCCATACACAGTGGCCCACCTGCCCACGGTGTGGGTCGCCATGATGGACAGCACCTCGGTGGTCTTGATGCGCACCACGTGGTTGGTGTCCTTCAGCAAAACCCGCAGGCTCTCCAGGCAGCCTGTGGGGCAGAAAGACCTTTAAACGGTTATCAGTCTCCAGGTTCAACCAACCCAGAAGCCAACGGGTGAGCCCACATCGGCAACAGCGATCAGCAGAGGCATCATGGCACTTAGGAAGGGTTTAGAGTCACCGAAGGGGGCTCTGTGTGCTCCCACCCAGGGACCATTCAGAAAATGCATTTGGAGCCTGGATGGCATGGCTCAGTGGTTGAGCATCGACCCAGCACCCGGGAGGTCACTGGTTCGATTCCCAGTCAGGGCACGTGCCTGGGTTGCAGGCTCAATCCCCCATCATTGATGTTTCTACTCGCCCTTCCTCTGTGAAATCAATAT